TCAAGTTCTCAAAAAGGCTGGGCTGTCAATCATTGTTCAGTCAGTGTTTCTGCTGTGGGATGAGATCTGGAGCTTCCGATTTTGCTATCTTTCTGATGTTACTCCTTCCTGATAAGGATCCTCAAAACTGGAGGAGCAATTTTAAAATATGTAGTCTTCACTGTGAGTTTTACATGTTCTTTACCTCAAAAGTTATAGTAAAGAGATTTATTAAAAACTCAAAAGAAAAAAAAAGAAAAGCACAAGAGTGTTCTAAGAAGTTGAATTTGTAATTTTCAAAACCAAATAACCTTAACTTTAGCTAAAAGCCAAGCAATTAATTTAGGTAATTATGGTCCACAGGGTAACAGGAGATATTTTTTAAATATTTTAAAATTTGCGGGACCAGCAGTTGGCATAATGGCTATGTCGCTGGACTCCCATGTAGTTGACCACAGTTCGAGTCCCAGACCCAGTGGCTTAAACTCATACTGGGCGTGTGTGCGTGAGTGCCCAAGATCCCGAGAGGAGAATGTAGGAGAAGGCATTGGGATGTGGTCATCCCCGCTGGGGAGGGTGATTTCTCACTTTCTGTCTCTCTGTCTTTCTAGCGATTGCACGTGCCCTATAGCACAAACCTCTCCCCCACCCAAAAAAAATGTAAAGTTTGCTCAAAAGGTAGATCTTAAGTGTTCTTACTGCGCATACACACAAAAGGTAAATATGTGAGATGTTGAATATAGTAAGTATTTTGAGTATGGTGATTATTTAAATATGTGTAATTTTTAATTATATATAAGTATACACACACACACACACACACACATATATATACACACACATAGAACATTGTTACACAGCGTAAATATTTACAATGTTTACTGGTCAATTATAGCTCAATAAAGCTGAAAAATATGGATGGTGTATCTAATTAAAAAAAAACTACTTTTCCCATTTCTTTTGCAGTTCTACTAAAATAAATAAAAAGTATTAGTCTACTGTGACAGGAAATAGGGGAGAAAAAGCATTAACAGTTGTCAGGAGACACTTTAGTTTCTGGGATATATTGAATTCTATGTATTTATTTCATGAGCAAGGGAGAGAGAAAGAGAAAGCAAGCATCCAACAGGGTCTTTATGCCACAGTCCACCCCCAGCTTCAGGCAGCAGGATCACAGGCACTCGCACACCTAGTAAGCACAGGGAGACCTCCATACACGAACCCAGCACCTCCCCAGGTGGCTTCAGCATTGCAGAGCTCTGCATTACCTCTGTACCACTGCAGCTGGCATAGGGTATGTTTAGTGATGAACAGCAAGGACCTGAAACATGATGCTGCATGAGAAAGGCCAGAACTCCACTGGGCTCTGGCATCTGAGGTGCACATCCTTCTGCCTACCAGTATACAGAATGAGTTGATGACAGAGGACTGGTTGAACTTACGCATGTGAAACAGTAAGGCCTCCTCCCTGCTCAGGACAGCAGATGCCTGTGCCCCTGACTCCACAAGAAACTCTGACTCCCAGACACCAGATACAACCAGTCTGTACTGAAACTGGGAGAAGTGAAAGCCCATGTCCTACATGTGGGCCTGAGGGCCTATAACTAGACCCAGCTCACACAGGGAACTAAAAGGTCTCCGGTGGATGATGGTTGACTTGGTAGAGAATCTTGCAGATACGGATATTTGGGGATCCCCCAGTGACCTAACCAGATTTATGCAGGGAAATCCCTTTGGTATGTCAACAGACCCTATCTACAGAAATACTTGTACTATATACATTCAGCAGGGATCAGCAGAAATTTGAAGAAATTTCAAAAATGTGATAATCAAGCCAAGACAAAGAAAGAAAAATGGAACTTGAGGGAAAATACAATCCATGTGGATGGATGCACTCTGCATCATTTGTAGGCCAGGGCACAGCAAAGTACGGGCCCAGCATTTCAGAATTAGTCCGTTTCATCCTAGGTTTCCATAGTGTAATAGAGGAAAGTCAGTTCTCGATTTTTAAGGGTCTTGAAAATCTTCCTCACTTGGATCTGGTCTCAGAAAGCTCATGGAGACTGTGCATTACTAAATTAAGACACTACTTTTTTTTTAGTGTCATTTATTTAATTTTATTTGTTATAATTACTTTTTAAATTGACTATAGGACATGTGTGCTCACCATAGAGAGACAGAGAAAGAGGGAAAATGAGAAAGCAAACTGCCAGGTCGGAGCCTTGAACCACAATTGACCATGTGGGAGTCCAGCACCTTAACCACCATGCCATCTCCTGGTCCCAAAACAGTACATTTTTAAAAAACAAAGAAAGGCAGGACCAGCAGCTGGCATAATGGTTATGTCGCTGGACTCCCACATAGTCAAATACAGTTCAAGTCCCAGACCCGGCAGCCTAAAACTCACACTGGGCACATGTGTGTACATGCCCAAGATCCCGAGAGAAAAATGAGGACAAGAGATCGCAGTGTGGCCATCCCACTGGAGGGGCAATTTCTTGCTCTCTGTCTCTTAGGCGAGCACACACACCCTATAGCAAAAAAATCTCTTCAAAAAAAGACAAATAACAAAAAAAGAAAGGCAGAAGATTCAGGAAATGGGATCAGAACTCAGTAGAGGAAAACGGAATTCCCAGGAAATTCAATAAGAAAAAAATGTTAGAGGGTCAGCAGGTGGCATAGTTATTAAGGCACTAGACTCCCACGTGGCCTACTGTGATTCTAGTCCTGGATCTGGAGGCCTTGAAACTCACACTAGATGCATGTCAATGTATTCCCAAAATCCCAGGAGGAGAATGAAGGAAAGGGGATTACAGTGTAGCCATCCCTCATGGGAGGTGCTTTCTTGCTTTCTCTCTCATTGTCTCTCTTTCTCCTCTCTGGTGAGTGCACATGCCCTATAGCAAAATCCTCTCTGAAAAAAAAAAAAAGAAAGAAAGAAAGAAAGAAGAAAAAAAATGTTAGAAGACAAGTTCAAGTTATCAAGGTTAAGGAAAACAGAAAGGTAGTCCAGAAAGAAAATACAGTAATCACGTATGTCCCTCAGGGGATAGTCCCTGTTGAAGAGAATTCCTGATAGAAATCTATTATAACTATGTACATACAGCTTAAAAAATGAATGTTAATTTTACTAATTCTTGTTCTACAATTTTTGAGAAGATTGGAGAAGAAAAGTATGAGAACTAAATCTTCATCTTTTAGAGTAAAAAGTCAACATCTAATCTGGAAAAATGAAGAGATTACAGAATAAGCTTCTTATTTACGAAAATGGAGTGAATACCCAAAGGAAAATGGAGTGAATATCCAAAGAAAACAGTTCAAAATTGTTGTCATTGAAATACCGGTAATGGGCAAGGAATTGCTGACTTTGACTCTAAGTTTCATAGGCCCATTTGATTTTATGATATGTCCATGTTTTACATAAAATATGTCCTAGCATTTCAAAGGTGTAGGAGGTATTTATAAATATTGTAGTAGAAGGGGAAAGTATCACTTTTAAAAGGAAACTGAAGACTAGAAAAACATATGTCAGAGCCAGCAGTGGCATGGTGGCTTCATATGAGTGCTAGACTCCCTTTTGGCCAATTGTGGTTCAAGTCCCAGATCTGATGGCTTGCTTTCTCATTTTCTCTCTCTCGCTCTCTCTCGTCAAATTAAAATAAATAAATAAACAAACAAACAGAGTAATTCTTTCTAAAAAAAGAAAGAAAAATATATGTCAACTCTTAGTAGTTTGCTGAGTGTTAAGAAAGTGATCATTTTCTTTTGTTTATATTTACTTTTAAACATTTTGCAATAAATGTGTGCTACTGGCAAAATTTAAAAGGAACCTTCACATGCACAAACACTCTCACACACCTACATACATGCATGTAAGAAATAACATATCCAGCCCAAAACACAAAATTGTCCTCATTGGGACATGGAGTGCATGCCTAGGCCTGGTACCCAGAAAACAAAATTGTCCTCATCGGGACATGGATTACTTGCCCAGTCCTGGTACCTGGAGTGGGAGCTTGAGTGAGTTAATCCAAGAACACCAGGATTAGAACCACAGAACTCAAGGGTGGTGGTGTCACAGCACCCTCCCCACAAGGGGTCCCTGAAAGATCAGGAAATACTTGAGCTGGAGCTCCTGGAGGGTGGAAAGAAAGCAGTCTTGTCTTCATTATTTGTGTTTTCTCCACACACAATCCCATGCTTTGCAAATAAACTCTAATCAGTGACAGCAAGCAAAGGAAACCTTTGGCTGTGATGTGGACAAGAGAATTATGGAATTCTTCAGAACCAAAGAACTGGAATCAGTGGATTCCATTTGCAGACAAAACAGACTTCACTGCCAATATCTAGACTTGCCCAATATTGGCAAGTTGTCTTTAGAAGCTGTGAAATTTTTACCATTAAAAATCTTTAAACAGGAGTTTGATTTTTTTTCTTAATGGGAGCCTGATGTCCCAGTTCCTGTTCTGTGTCTTACATACTAAGAAACCACATTGCAGTTCAGAGCTGGGGTGGCCAGCCCATGGATAGCTAGTTGATTCTGCATGCCCTAAAGCATAAACACGCAGACCAAGGCGACAAACAGAAGTCAGGAAAAGGGTGAGGTCAGAGCCACTCCCACCATCCTTCTGTGTGGCATGCAACATGGTGGCCTTGTCCAGTCTAAGGAACGGTTTTCTTTTGCATGTAATTAGTTGCATGGGATCCCTTTCTGGCTCATGCAAAGAGGATGTTTACAATGTCTCCAGACTTGCCTGAAGTCTCTAGAAAATATGAGCTCCCTGCACTCACTGGGGCCTTCGGCATGTCTGTGAGCACATCTGTGCCATCCAGGCCTCATGCGAAATGCTCAGGCCCTCACAGCTCTGCCTCAGAGGGCCCTGATAGTGCTGGCGCTCTGACCACCCTCTTTACAGCAGCGCATCACACAGAGCCAGCTCCTGTAGGTGGGCACCCCACGTGCTCATCGCCCCCTAGCAATCACCCCAACACTGACGTCTTTCCTTCTTTGTGTTTCATAGGTGTCCCTGGGGTCACAGATTGATTTACAGAAAAAGAAGCGGCGGGCACCAGCTCCTCCTCCACCACAGCCACCACCACCACCAAGCCCCCTGGTCCCCAAGCGCACCGAGGACAAGGAGGACAACAGGAAGAGCACAGTGGGTAAGTGAGTGCTGGGCCTGCTGTTTGCATGCCTACAGGGTGCCTGCTGTTGCCTGGAATGTTAGCACTGCTACTAACTCCCCGAGGGGTCTCATCCATAATGACATTAACCGGAAAAGATTTATGCTGCAGAAACAAAGTCTGCCAATGAACAGTTGGGGGTCCATTTAATATCTTACTAGCCATATCTTATTGGATGCGATGTGAGCATTTAGAAGGTGGGGAAGGAGGTGCATGGCCAATAAAGCTGGGAGAAGGGTGGAAAGTGAAGAGCGAGCGAGTGTGAACATGTGACGTGTGTCTCTCAGATGCAAAAAAGAGGTCTTCAGGTGACACTTTAGAAGCTGTTTGAAAGACATCCTAGCATTGAAGGATATCCTAGGCCCCATGTAATATATGGATGAGTTGAGTCAACTCAGTAATGTTATGATCATCCTGTTTAACATTGGTCTCCATTTACCTATCTTTTATATATTCAGCAAAGCCCCTGATAAGAATAAGAATAGTTTTCAAGCCCAGCATTTATGTATTTGTGCCTGCCAAAAACAAATTGCAACCAGGCAGGGGTTCCTAAATTGTCCCCACAGTAGGACACTTTGTTCCTAAAATGTTAGAGTGAGTGTAGTTGGACATGGTGCCAGATGAAATTGGATTTGATGCCTGGTGTGCTTGAATTTGTGTAGAGTGAGATTGGATTTAGTGTTGGTATGTCCGGATTTGGTGTTTTACAAATTTTGGCATTGGGTATGGCTGACTTAGTGTTGATGTGGTTGGTTTGATTTTGAGTGTGGCTAGACCTGGTGTTGGTGTGGCTGGTTTGGTGTTGGGTGTGACTGGTTTGGAGTTGGCTGTGACTGGTGTGTTGCCGGGTATAGCTGCATTTGGTAGCACCATGGCTGAATTTGGTGCCAGGTGTAGCTGGTTTGGAGTTGGATGTGTCTGTATTTAGTGTTAATGTGGTCAGTTTTGTGTTGGTGTGGCTGGATTAAGAGTTGGTGGGTGTTGCTGGTTCGGAGCTGGCCATGGTTGGAAGAAGCTTGTTTGACTTAACCTTCTGAGCGACTCCCCATTGAATCCATATAGGTGTTGGACGGCAGGTGCCACAAAAGCCTCCCAGGGGCACTGCACGGGGTCCACCCCTGTTAGTGCTTCCCCCGCCCCCACCCTACCCACCTCCCGACACAGACATGGAGGAGCCTCTCAGCTTTCCTGGGAAAGGCGCTGGTTCGGAGGCCTCAGACCTGAGACCCAAACGTATGTGCCTCTTGTGTCCGTTCCCACTGTGTGTCGACCATTCTCTCTGGTCACTGCTGATGTCAGGGCTGGGTGTCCAGACTCTGCTCACCTTTGGGTGTTTGTGCCTTTCCTTCCCAGCTCCTCTTGTGAAATGCTCAATGCAGTGTGTCTGATTACTCAGGGAATGCGCTCCGAAGGCCACGCAGATCGTCGTAGTAGTGACTTAGCAGCTTATCATGCCCGCCTGGGGTTGGAGTTCCCTGAAGTTGTACCTTGTTGGTGGAGACAGACAGGTTGGACCAACCTCAGGTCTGGGGAACACAGCAGATCCGGGATTGTATGAGTGGTAGCTCACACTGGCAATCCCCAAATGCTCCGAGACCGTGTTGCTAAAGAGCTGGGAAAGTGTCATTTGGAAGTCGACCTTTGAACCCCATGGCCAGTGACCAAGCAGTAGTTCTGCTTCTCTGCTGGAAGGGAAACAGAGGCACCAGGAGGGGAAGCAGCTTGACTTGAGTCCAGCCATAGCCAGAATCAGAATTCTGGTTTGCGTCTGTTGTCTGCACCTGTGTCTGAGACGGGGCCTTCCTCATCGTTTCCTGGATTATTCTGGACTGCAGTAAGCACTGTGGACGGCACTACTGCCTGCAGATTGGGAACAGTCTCACAGTTGCACTGTATCTGCATGGTGCCTTCGTCTGCAGAGCAGGCCTGAGTGTGTCCCCTAAGTGCATCTCCGCCCTGTACCAGTGCCTCCTGGTGCCGCGGGCACCTCCCTGGGCTGTACCTTTGAGCAGCCGATGGTCCCACCGGCGCCCCCTCTCCACTCACAGGAGTGGAGTATGGTAGGAGGACCATACTCATCACCGCTGCACTTCGTCTTTTCCTGTCCTTTGGACATGACGACTAGAGCTCACTGTCGACTTTCTCTAGATTAAATCATCTTGATTGGTTGTACATTTCTCCACAAATCCTTCTTTCCTCCCCTTCAAACATGTTCGGTTCTCTGGATGTTGGGTGTACTTCCGAATGCAAATGCGTTTGTAGTGACTGTTAGAGAACTCAGGCTCCGACCCAGCAGTCAGCACAGCAGCAGCGGCAGAGGTGACTTTGGCAGCTGTCGTCTCTGCAGAGAGGGTTTCGGTGGTCACTGTCCCACCCACCGAATCTCCTCACTCGGGGGAAGTAAGAGAGCAATGGCTGAACGAAGTGGCAAAACTGTAGCAGTCCGTGTGACGCTCCAGGAGGCAGACTACATGTGAAGGTCGCCAGTTCACGTCCGGAGACCTCCCTGAATATGCCCGGCACACATGTGGCCATGCTTGGGGCTGGCTGACGCTGGGAGAAGGTCACGGCATCAGGACCCTGGCAGGGTTGCTGTACCTCTGTCTGTCATGGATTAAGTAAATAGAAACCTTGAAACGAAAAAAGAGGGGCCAGCAGATGGCATTAGCAGTCATGTCACTGAACTCCCATATGGTCGACCGCAATTTGAGTCCCGGACCCAATGACTGGAAAATCACGCTGGGCGCATGTGCATGTGTGCCCAAGATCCCGGGGGAGAATGAAGGAGAAGGGATTTCAGCATTGCCTTCCCCCCAGGGTGTGACTTCCCACTTCCCTCTCACTGTCTCTCTCTTCAGTGAGCACATATGCCCTAAGGCAAAAAACTTTTAAAAAATAAAAGAAAATGGTATAGTGCATACAAGCCCTTGGTGATCAAAGTATGGCAATTCCATTTCAAATGTAGAAACAAAAACAAGGAAGACTATTAAAGCCTCTCAAAAACTTAAACTAGCAGAGAACTTAACAATCGGCAATGTGGCATCCAGCCACCTTCACTACCGCGTCGCCAGCTGGCCCTCATTCCCATTGTAAACAGTACTAGATACATGGTCATGGGAACCACGTGTACTTAGAACAAAGGCATGATGGAACAGACCCTGTGTTCATATGTTCTTCTCCATGTATGTCCGGGACTCCTGAGTTCTTCTGAACAATTGAGCAGTTTGCAGTCAGGAGTTCAGGGGAGATAGAGTTCCCTTCCACAGGTGCATGTACGTGGCTTGAGAGGTTGCCTGTAAATGCCCGTCGCCAGCTCACTCATGCTCGGTTGACCCAGCCTGGACACAGACTACATGAGTTCTCTGTCTGTTCCAGCCATGGTAGACAGGCTGAATCCTCTGTACACACCTCGCTGCCATCCCAAGACCCCACCTGTGGCATGCCACTGTAGGATGCATGTACTCAGAGACAGAGAGGCAAAGTAAGAATCACCCCCACACTGCAGTCCCTTCTCCATTCTCCCCTTAGGTTTGGGGTACGCATGCACGCGCATGCACACACACGCACACACACGCACACACCACGCATGCACGTGCATGCACACACACACACACACACACACACACACACACCTGCTCCATTTCCAAGCCACCAGTTCTGGGACTTGCACTGTGGTGGACTATGTGAGAATCCAGTGCCTTACTCACCATGCCAACCACTGGCCCCTGAATTTCTCCCAGTACACTCTAGGCATTTATCTTCTGCTTTACTTACCACACTGTACTGGTGCTCCTCTCTGTGCGTCCTCGGCTCCTTTAAGCTGTCAGGAGGCTTTAACAGTCTTATTCATATTTGTTTCCATCCTTGAAATCAGTGTCTGACCCAGCATAGTAGTTAAGAAATATACCAGAATAGATCTCTGTGTAAGTGTACATAGTCACGGTGGTACACGTTACCCCATCCAGCGTCATCAAGCCGAGTGCCTCTCAGGCTAAAAGGCATCCAAGTCTCTCTGTGGGATACCCTCAAATAGTCTGTGTTGTGTCACAGACCTGTGGTGGTCATGCCCAGAGATGCGAAAACTCTCAGTGGACTAGCACCCCATGGCTGCTTCTTTAGTTCCTTCCTCGGGTGGGCCATCCTTCCGGGTGCCTTCAGTGATGCGGTGGGCACCTCTGCAGTGGCTCCTCCGATCCCATCTTCCATGTTCACTCCCCTCCCCACCATGTAACTCTCTTCTCTGGAACATAGCCTGGACGTAGCAACTCATGTCTGATAAGTAGAATATGGCAGAAATAGCGATAATCACCTTTTTATTTATTTATTTTTTTGAGTAGTTTTCACTTTGGGGATGTGCACTGTCTGGAGGGAGAGAGAGACAGAGACACAGGGAGAATGTGAGAAATCAACCCCAGGGAGGATAGCCACACTGTAGTCCTTTCTCCTCCCAGAATCTTGGGCACACATGCACACACACCTGGCATGAGTTTGAAGTCACTAGGGCCAGGACTTGAACCACAGTTGGCCATGTGGGAATCTAGTAATATAACCACGACACCCTCTGCTGGGCCCAAGATATCACTTGTTATATCCAAGATTCAGGTACAATGACTATGCCTTCTATTCTGGGCACTTTATCTGCGTCGTTCACCCTGAGAAAGCCAGTGGCCATGTTGGGAGCTGCTCTGTGGAGACCCATGTGGCAAGAAACCTCAGGAGCCTCCAGCCAGCGACCAATGAGGAGCTGAGGCCCTCGTTACTCTGAGTATGAGATCAGAATCCTGCCAGGGGCTTCATGAGCAGGGCTGGAAGCAGACCCTCCCCAGCAGAGCTACAGTCGAGACCACAGCTTGATTGATGTCATGATCGTTGCCCTGTGGGAGACTCTGAGCCATCTGCTAAACTGGGCCCAGGCTCCAACCCACAGACACTGTGGCATAATAAAAGCTTGTTTTAGCCTCCGGGCTTTGGGATAATTTGATCATCAGCGGTGGATAACTAGTGCAAGTTGCAAGGGAGAGAAACCATCTGAAACCTACTTTGACAGTTGGGGAATGCCTTATCTCATGGAACAAGAATCCCAGATGTCAGTGTTAGTTGAATCTGAAGCCTAAAGTTGTCGTCAAGGATCTGGTTCTGGGCTACCCTGTAGAATAGTGGTTATGCACTGTGCTGAGGAAGCTGGCTCCCACATGGCCAAATAGGGTTCAAATCCTGACCTGGTAACAACACACCAGGTATGTGTCCCCAGCTTCCTGATAGGAAGAAGAATTGAAGGAAAAAGGATTACAGCATGATCAGGCCCTAGTGAGGGCTTCTTTCTCTATTTCTTTCATATACTCTATCATGAATTAAAAAACAGTATAGGTTCTAGATTCTCTCTATTCTTCTCCCTATAACCTTTGGGGTGGTCTTCCTCTTTGAGGAAGTCTATCACTATTCTGGGCATCATATCCAGACACCAGAATTTTCTGAGGAGGAAGAGAGGAAGTCTCATCTAAGAGTTCCATAGAAGTTCTCAGAAACCCCCACTGAGCAGCCAACAGGTAGCATAGAAGTTAAGCAGTTAAGGTGCTGGACTCCCGCATGGCTGACCATGGTTCAAGTCCCAGTCCTGGCTTGACAATCACATCGAGCATATATGCATGTGTGCCCAAAAATCCCAGGAGGAGAATAGAGGAAGTAGGGATTGCAGCATGGCTATCCTCCTGGGGGGTGATTTTTTACTCTCTCTCTCTCACTGTCTCTCTCCGGCATGTACATGCACTCCTATGGCAAATACCTTAAAAAGAAAGAAGGAAAGAAGCCCCCAGTGAGACGTTTCTCCCATGTCTGATTGACAGCGGTTGGATATACACTGGCCCAATTCTTGATATACCAGGCCCATCCAATAAGTAGGGCCGAGCTCAGCTTTCCCTGAGGTACATGGAAGGTGCTGGTCTGCGCTGGAAGCTCTGCTAATTCGAGGTGTGGGCAGTGCATGCTGCCTAAGCTCCCAGCAGTTCACTTCACTCAGGTTGCAGCCTTCAGTTTGGCTGCAGGCTGGAGAACGTGAGCTGTGGGATGAGCAGGTGCAGAGAGAGGAGGATGCGCCAATGGCAAAGAGCAACTGGGTGATTTGGCTAAACAATGGTGCAGTCAAGACTCTGAAAGCCAAAAGCCAGCAAGGAGCCATCTCCCGGAGGAACAGTCTCAGTGAGGGACTGCTCATCTCGGGTCTGGCCTCCACCTAC